TGTGTGTGTGTGTGTGTGTGTGTGTGTGTGTGTGTGTGTGTGTGTGTGTGTATGTAGGTGTGAGAGTCTGCTGCAGTCCAACCTATTAATCTCTCAGTCAGGCTCTGCATGAGTGTTTCCCGGCTGGAAGAAACACTGATTTCATTTTTCGCACATCCTCACACAGCAGGTGGCTTGTGACACCACCCAGATTTTGCTGGTTTATTCACTTTTTATTGTTTTATGTTTGGTGCCATAAGGACAGCTCGGCACAGAATGCAGAACGGTCTTTACAAAGTTACAATGGCCACAGGCTTTATCTGTGAAATGTATTTTAACTGGCTAACAGGAAACTACACCGATGTGGCGGTAAGCGATTGGCTGGAATTGCGTGTGGCTTTGCCTGCCCTTCCGGGGAGGATTTGTAACGCGGCTGCACCTTGGCTGTGAGGTAATGAAAATGACAGAGTAGGAATAAAATGCGACCAATGATTAACCAGGAAGTCTCGCGGCATGCAGAGAGACGGCACTGTTAATGCACAGGAAAAAAACGAAGGTATAAAATGAGTGATGACGATCTGTGGAAGTCCTTCATCTTATGGATGTTGGCACTGAGCTGCATGCAATGTTAAGATCTGGGGAAGGTTCTCCACAAACACTGTGGTTTAATCCAATGGAGGAGATTAACCCCCCCCCCCCCCCCAACCATGGGCATTCAGTATTGACTGCGGTGCACTTAACTAAAGTGGGCAACGGGCTGTAAATTCTGCATGATGTCATGCAATATTGATTTGGCAGAAGCCTGTATAGCAGACCAGCGGGATTTACCCCCCTGCCTCAGCTTTGAGCGTCCCCTAGTGTCCCCCCATGACCCCGTCAAGGTAAAAACCATCCCAGCAAGTCTGTGTCTTGGCACTGGCTGCCAGTGATGATGCCCACGAGAGGCGAAATAGCTCCGCTCTCGCACTTGGGCTGTGCTTGAATGCCAGTGACTCTGCCTCACTTACAGTTGACGTCAGCAGAATGTGGTTCAGCAGGTTAGCTGCCTGTGAGCAGAAGGTCGCTGGTTCAAATCCCCGAGTCACACAGTGATTTCACCCTTCGGTCCCTGAGCAAGGCTGTTGTCCTCTAATTGCTTCTGGGACTGTCTGACTCTGCTTTCTCAGTTGTATGTCGCTTCAGATAAAAGGGTCTGCTATGTAAATTGTAGATGATGTCAGGTTCTGCTTGACTGACTGTCAAGCTGCCCGCAAATAAGCTTCCCTTTTCAGTTAAAGCAGCTTTAGACCTGCTCAGACACATCCCCCCCCAAGGTGATGTGTGCATGTTAAGAAGCTTGTGTACCCTGACCGAGACTGCCTCATTTTCTCCGGTATGAGTCCGTGCGTGGCTCTGCTGCCCCAATCTGTTGTACAAATTTGCCATTCTGTCAGTGGAGTTAATTGGAAATTGGAATATCAGGCCCCCGGCCAATTCGGATGATGATCATCAGGAAAAACGTCCCTGCTCAGTTCTGACTCTGCTGTGATGTCACTTCCTGCAGCTCCTGCCATGACCACAGAAGTGAGCGTCGCGGGTGAAGCGGAGAGTCAGCAGCAGGCCGGTCAGCCTGAAGCCGACCAGCAGGGGCAGAAGGGTCCCCGCCCACAGGAGCCTCGCGCCCCCCCCGAGGAACCGCCCCCCAAAACCAGTCGTGGCCTCCCACGGCTCCTTTCCTCCTTCCTGAAGCGTCGCTCTCAGTGCACCGAGCCGGAGGGACGGCCGGCCCCAGAGGACCCCTCCAAGGCCCCCATCGCGGACCCAGAGCCTGAGCTGCGTGCAGTGGGTGACACGGCCCTCGACCTGCACTCGCTCAGCAGCGCAGACACTCAGGTTTGCTCTTTTTAGTCCCGCCTCCTCTCTCTAGCCCCCCCCCCCTCTCTCTCTCTCTCTGCCCTCCCCTAACCCCCCTCCCTCTCTCTCTCTCTCTCTCTCTCTCTCTGCCCTCCCCTAACCCCCC